CCTCCTGTGCGGGCCGGGCGGGAGGCGGCGGGGGGGGGCCAGCCCCTCCCGGGGAACCCCGGGGTGGTTACCTTCGGGGAAGACGGCTCGCATTTTCAGGTAGCTGGTGGTGAGGCGGATGATGGACGCCTTGTCCAGCTGGGAGGTGATGGCCGAGGGCAGCGGCAGGAGTTTGGCCAGTTCGTAGAATTCTCCATTTTCTTTTTCCCGTCTAGTCTTTGCCGCGTTCTTGGATTTTTCCTTCATCGCGACTACTGCAAGGCGAAGATGACACTGGCATATTAGACCCGATTCTTCTGAATTGCAGGGGGCATGGATTTCGGCTTCAGAGTTAGTATTTTCGTTTAAGGAAGGGAGGGAGGGAATTCACCCAAATCAAATAAAATAATAATAATAAAAAAAACAATAAAAAGGGGAGAAAAAAGGGGAAAAGGGGAGGGAAAAAAAGCCAAACCAACCAAACAAAAACAACACCAACAGAAATGGTGCGAGGAGGGGGGAGGCGATCTCTGAGCCACAACCACGACAGGCAAGCCGCTCGGGAGAAGGCAGTTCTGCTCTGACCCTTCAATATCTAGCGCTTCGAAAGCGAGACTGAAAGACCTACACGAACCACGGTCCTCCGCCTGCAGCTGGAATCGGATCTTCTCCACAACAGGGAGCAAAGCACTGGGTTCCCCTCACTGAAGGATTTCTTCTACTCAATCCTTCCCCGTCCAAAAATAATAATAAAAAATATTAAAAATAGAGCGTCCACGCAAGAAATCATTGGGCTAAGCAGGCTGGACCATTTTTAGACACTTTGTCTCTTGAAAAAAAAAAAACAAAAAAAAAAGAAAAAGAAAGACCGCGCTGCTCGTTTAACGAAGTGCAAAATGATCTGGTCCCGCAGCCCGAGATGCCGAGGAGACGACGAGACGGCAAGGCGGCCCCCCGCTAAACGAAAGTCAAAGCCGGTGCGGAGGGAGCTGATGGCTGGGGCGCTCCGAAATCACATTTCCTTCAGTCCTTCAGACGCTTCCCTCTCGGCCGGCTCTCGGCGGGCGGCGGCTGGTCTTGCGGCAGAAAGACGCTTTCCCCCGTCCCCGAGGGGCTGCTTCAGCGCCG